GTTGGAAATGGATATAGAAATAAAGAAGCGAGAATAAGATAATAAAAAATAAATGATATAAGTGAAAATAATAAAGAAATAAAGATAGAAATAAAGAAGTGAAGGAATAGAAAAGTAAGGAATAGAGTTATAAAACTGGAGAAGAAATGAGGAAAGAGATAAATAAAAAAGTGAAGAATGGAAGATAAAGAAATAAGGAATTAATGAAGAAATAAATATAGAAGAAGAAGAAGAAGGTTGGAAATGGATATAGAAATAAAGAAGCGAGAATAAGATAATAAAAAATAAATGATATAAGTGAAAATAATAAAGAAATAAAGATAGAAATAAAGAAGTGAAGGAATAGAAAAGTAAGGAATAGAGTTATAAAACTGGAGAAGAAATGAGGAAAGAGATAAATAAAAAAGTGAAGAATGGAAGATAAAGAAATAAGGAATTAATGAAGAAATAAATATAGAAGAAGAAGAAGAATGTTGCAAATGAATATGAGGGGTATTTCCAAGAGACCAGTATAGGAGACCGGCTCGAGGAAGAATGAGCGCTTCGAGTCCGGGCGCTGTCTTCGTCGCTTCTCCCACCATCCGCCTGCTCGCACTCGCCGAGTCCTGCGCGACGAATTTGCGCGCACACAGTTTTGGGCAACTTCCAGTACTTCTAAATATGCTTGGCCAGAATTTCCGATTTCTAAGTGTTAATATTTTACATTATTGAATCAATTAATTATTTTAATGTTCCAAGCATCTATTTTGTTAATATTTCAATTTCGACATAGTTAACCTCTGCCCGCCAAGCTACATGTTCGTGTTCACGTTTAACTCGGCTACGACGGAATATGCTTTGTCAACGAAGGCGGCGATCATCACAAAATCCTACTTCCAGACTCACTGCTATGATTTAGCGCCATGATTTTGGTATCGCTTAAGACCGTCGCGTTGAACATCTCCCTATTCATCTCTGTATCTGGTCATTGCAGACATTTTCCAGAAATAGAAGGTCTACTTACCCTCTGGCGTAGTTAGTCCGAAGTAACGAAGAATGTTCCTCGTAAAAATGTGCTTTTTTTCGAAGTAGCTTGTGTTCCGCGCCCTTTAACGGCCACGAACCCCGAGAGTCTAAAGCGTTAAAAATATAATTGCAAGGAGTGTGATGTAAAACGTCTGGATTCTAAATAATAACTGGATCATCTTTAAATTATATTAAGTATTACCTTTATTTAAGTAATGTACAATAATAACTTGCATCTGTACGCTACTTACATAAGAATACCTAATATGCTCTAGAAACTTTGAGAATAATAATTATAATAAATCTCTATTATATAATAATTAATAATATTAATAATAATAACCTCATACATAATAAATACATCACATTTAGAGACAAGCAGATTCCCTCTTACGTATATCACGTAGGGCTCGCTCGATTTTCGTTTCTTCTATCATACACGTAAGTCCTCGTATATTACAAACTAAGGAGTCAGGAACGCTCATTCACACTAAACATTGTTACCAGTAGGTATATTATTTAATTTCTAGACCACGATTATGCGTGGAGTTGGCGCCCGATCGGTTTCACATTTAAAACGGGAAGCGAACAAGTTACTAAAAATGATTGGCATAGAATTACAGGGAGCAGCAAGAAAGTAAGTTTTTTGTCGATACTAAAAAATGTCTACGTGTTTTCGTTTTTACTTTGTAATTTCCGTATAAAACGGATACAAATGTACCTGTGATTTTTCGTGTTTCCCGCCGAGCGCCAAATACAGCGTCGATCGTGTCCGAACAATGACGATGATGGCCGACGCATTTAGAAATGGAAGATCTCCGCTTTCTCACGGTAATCTAAACGGCACGAATACAAATATTTAATAAAATACAAACCGTGCGGGGCTTTAAATTCGCAGCCGAAAAAATTGAACGTTTTTCGGAATAAAACACAGGAGACACATAGAAGACGGAATAATCAACTCGGAATCTAGACTAACGACAAGTGAATTCAATTCTTTGTTGGAGCATCTTTCTGGCTCCTTTTACATTAATTTATTAATCTATTTGTTTATTCGTGACCGTGCTCATTCTTATCTCCGTTGCGTCCTGGGATTCTACACTTGTTTTTATTTACATACACAACTTCGTCAAATGCGACGAGCATCAATAAATCTTGTCGCGCCATCTTGGATAAGCAGACGTTTTCGAGGCGTTGCATCAGAACTTCTATCTCTCTTTTATCCAGAATTTTCTTTTCATCCTTGTATTCCTTTCTACCATCAATATAACTTCGATCGGATTTAGGTTTCCTTTGGTAAGTTATAGCTACGGTTACGATCGACGAAACAATATCTTAATAAACATATGCACGCTCGATCCTTGTGTGCTCCTATAATTGGACAGCTGATACAATAGGTCTTCTCATTATACTTTTGGTATCGTCCCTCATAGTTTTCACGCTTTTACTTCAATACTCTTTCATCAAGCACACTACTAATGTTTGTCTCGCTGTTGGACACTGTTCATTATAAACTCTGAAGAAACGCAACGTAACACTTTTTTTTGGGCAATGCTACGCACACGCGCTACCACACTCGAATACGTATTGCGAGGGAATTAATGATCCTTGCTTCGTGTCGAATAATCAGCGTGGACTTCAGTTTACTGGGTATTTTCGAAGATCTGCAAATTACGTGGCGTATTGGATTTTTCGTTTAATACCGTTCGCGAAAAGCCTATTGCAGGGAAATACACGGTTATACAGTAGTTTAAACATTTAAGGGACAACAATTACAATATACTTAGCGAGAATTCGATTCTTCTTTTTCTTTTGTTTCCTTAATAGTTTTTCTTTTCTTTATCTGCGTAACGATTTTTTTTTCTTTTTTTTTTCATTCTTCCGTCGCTCGTATCGCGAAGGAAGACAGCGCGTCGCTTTTCGCCATTGAAATTGAGCTTCGCTTGTACACACGTCGCGTCGTTTAATGGATTTTTTTTCTCGTTATTACTAAAATATGTTATCTGTATGCTGCAGGATTAGATACATGTGGTCTCGTTTTGTACTTTTGTAAATCGTAGATAATCGATCATTGGTGTTAACACTTAAAGGGGCCCGAGGTATTCGGAATCAGACTCGTTTACATATTTTACTCGTATTGCGAGAATGCCGAACTCTGAGGCAACGTTGGTCAAGAGCAGTTTTGCATATTTCCAATCCCACCGTTTCACGATATTAAATAATCGAGAACCGTCGAACAATTGTGAGTGGACTTTTGTTAGGCCGAAAAACGATTAATTGTGTCAATAATGTCAATTTCATATACGTCAGTATGCGACAAGTATTGGACTTTCGAGGTTTGGCGAGCAAAAAATAATAGTTATAATGAAGTGACGATAGAAGTCTTGAAAAATGACGTTTGAGAAAGAAAACGATAATGGAATAATATTTATTTATGATAGCAGATCTGTCATTTTCCAAGTTAAGCCGTGTGCTGTCATGTTGCTTATTCGTCACGCTGCTGATAAGGTTTTGGAATAATGCAAAAGTGCTGACTTATATAGACTATTAAAAAAAAAAAAGCTGATGAGTGATTTCTTTCGAGTAGGCTCTTTAGTGTGAGATGGACGGTACTGAATTAATATGGCTGAACATTGTAGCAGCAGTAAAACAGAGCCAAAATATTCAGGTTGCTTTGATTTAAATATTATACTTGATTACTGGACTGTCCAATGAATACTGATCACTCTTGAAATGTTAAATGTTTTAACAATAAGTTAACTCATCTTGTTTCTTGTTGAATCTTTTGACTATCCTCTTTCGTATCTAGTTATCTTGCTGATTACCAGATTCTTTAGTCAGTTGCTAGAGTGGTACTACACCATTACTGCTCTTTTCTATTTCCACAGGATTGTTTGTCGCTCCAGATGCACTTTTCCTCTTGTCATCCACACTGTAACCCAAGAGTGTAAAGGAAACATTAATAATAATGTTAATTTTGTTATTAATCAATGTGTGGAGTTATGCTTACTCTCTAGGATTGTGAGACGTAGTTTCATCAACATTGTCACCTTCCTCGGAGAGGGCCTCAGTACCATCAACACCTTGTGTCGATGAATTTGTGTTCAAATCACAGTTTTTCTGATTGCTCTCAACTCGTTTAAGAGCCTCCGTTTGTATTTCGTTAATATTTGTAATCTCACATTCTTCTACTGGTAAACATGTCTCTACCATAGCCTCTAGACAGTTGACAAACAGTTCTGCACTCTCTGCAGTGCGATTACACTGGAAAATATGTATAATTATCAAGTGTACAGATAAAACAAATTATTGATACAAAAAAGTCATAGACTTATTACCTTTGTATAAGGTCCTGCAAATCTCCATAGGCCACCAAACCCACAACTTTGTAAATAGTGTAGTTGTTGCTGACTAGTATCCTCGCAAGCAATCATGTTCTGAATGATAGCCTGTACAGCACTGAGAATAGCTTGATCGTGACAGGTAGACAGTACACTATTTATTTTTGCATCAAGTAAATTGTGACTGTAATTAAATATGATAGATGTAAGTTAAACTAACTATTCAGGAACAAACGAAATCATTGTGATATAATGACAAAAAAGAATAACACATACATCACAGGAAAAACTTTTGGAAATACTACAGATGCTTCAGCCAGATACTGATAAAGGATTCGTGTTTCATTTTCATCAGTAGAGTACTTGACGAGCGTGGCCAGGACTGTTAGTACAAGAGTTTGCGTAGAGAAGTCTGTCAGCACTTCAGGATCCAGTAGGACATTGTTCTCGTTACTGACACTCACTCTGGCACTACGATTCTGTTTGAAATAAATTACAATCAGATTAAAATATCAATCAATTATACCAGGAAGAGGAAGTCGTGCTTATCCCAATAGCAGCTGGTGCTACTCATAAGGCATCAGAATGAATCGATGGACAAGTACAATTTATTACATTTCTTGTATTATAATTACCTTTGGTTCTGTATCGTCATTCGGCTTGGCTTCTTTCGTAGTCGGCACGGAGAAGGATCGCTGTGTTTTAAATAAAATCCGGCCGGTCTTGTTAATGTCGTATGTCACATTTGATGATTGGATGGTATGATGTTAGTGACACGTATGGAATGGTAAGACCCAGGCAGGCACAGGCAGTCACACCGAGATCACACAGAGAAACAGAGAGAGAGGGAACACGAAATTCCATTATCCACAAAACACAGTTTGCTACTGATAATTATGACCATAAATACTACTCAAGACCAGCTGCATCTTCAAATCACCACAGCATCCATCAGCCGTATTATAAATCAAATGCTTAAGTTTAACATGTAAAACTGACCCATAAGAGTCATTAGATTGATTGTGAAATTATTTGGTTTGATTAAAGTAAAAGCCAACTCAATAATTATTATGAACTTATTAGAATAACGAGTAACAGAAATCCACCAAAAATCCATTGACAGAAAAAAAAAGTGCATAGCAATTACTAGATCATTACAGAGCTAGAGTGTAATTATCAATTAAACTTCAATAGAAATTTCCTTACAGTTTGAAGTATAGAAAACATGCACAATTTCTTAATGTGGCTATACAGTCAATCGTGTATATTGATCTTATTATAAAATCAAATGCTTCCAATAAAATGTCCATAGCACAATGAAATTTTTCATTGTTACATCCAAAGTATTCTCAAAATAAAATACATTTCGTAAAACACCTGTAGACTTTGAAGACTCGGATGCAGTATTCCAAACATTCATCAGTCTCTGATGAAGGAGAAATTACAAAAAAAGAAAGTAAAATAGTCAAGATGCTATTACCCAAGTATAGTTTTTCTGACATAACACAATATGAGCTCACAAGCACAGAGAAGAATAGCAAATCCTTTATGACAGAGATACCTGGTGCGGTGTATGCTGCTTCTGCTGCCTGGCTTGGGTGATCGCTGACTGGTCCAGAAGATCCCAAGACTTTTGTCTTCTGTTTGCTGGATTAGTCATGTTGCCTGAAATGTCCTGCAGGTCGTTTGCGAATATTAATATACTTGCACATTCAATTCTTCACACTAACCCAAAGAGTAGTATTGCACTTTGTATAGCTGACAAAAAGTATCACTTACTGCATTGTGCGATACTAAAGTATCCAGGAAGTCAGTGCTTCCAGATTCTGTGACGTTTCTGCTTAACGAGTGTCTTATGTGACACCTACTTCTCACTTCCTCAGACACTGAGACTAATGCTATAAAGAATAATTTCTAGAATAATTTCTAAATTATATACCTTCTTCAAAAATGAGAAAATAATTCTTACCAGCGAGATAAGCAACACTTTCTGGTGTCACCTCAAACTTGTCCCGTCTCAATGGCTTAGCAACAATGGCTAAAAGCATTGTAAGGACTCTGGCTGTCCTGGTGACAGTTGTTGGTGTAGGATGGCGATATCCCTTTAAAAGATGACCAACTAAAGCAAAATGGAAATTCGATTTGAATGATAATCCCACAGCGTGATCCAGTTGTTTAAAGTGCCATTCCAGAGGCTCTCGTGTGGACATCATGACTTGTTCCAAAGTCTGAATAAAAAGGAAAAATTGTTTCAATGTAAATTGGCAAGAAGATACTTTTTCCTTATAAGTATACACGTACCTTATCGTCGAAAGTGCCTTGTGAGTCTAAAGTATGCAAATTCTGCTCTAATAGTGCTAGACCGGAAGCATACAGTGAAGCCTCATCCAATTGCAGAACAGAAGTTGCTACCCAGAAGAGATACCGGTGTATTGGAGATTCCTGTAATAAAGACAATTATATTTGTATCCTTTGTTATTATTAATTAATATAATTTTAATACGCACCGGTCTGAGAAGTGGCTGTAGTCTCGTGAGACACATGACTATGGCTTCGAGGAGTGTAATGTCATTGAAGCTCTCCAAAGCTTTCACCAATATCCTTAAAAGCTGTTTAACATCCTGATCCGTAATGCTTTTACTGATGCATCCAAAGACAATAAGAGCTCTAGGTTGTAGTGCCGGATTGAAACAGAAGGCAAAACTCTTAGCTAAGGATGTCCACGTCCTGAGCCAATCGCACTTTGGTATATCCCTCATACAAGCTTCCATAATTTCCAACAGCGCGTCAGTGATTACTTCCAAACTCGTCAAAGCCAGCCTCTCTCTATCCTGACTTCCAGAGATGCTTCTCTCGTTGCCAAACCATTTCTCATTGGAGTGTCTATAGCTGGACCTGAATGCTGTGACAGCAGCAGACTTAACTTTACTGATACCAAAGAGCAAATAAAATTTAGGCAGAGAGAACTCGTCCAGGCTCATCCTGAGAACTCTTTTGCTATCTTCTGAGAAGGAGGGTGAGCTGCAGGTACACAGAGAGTGAATAATATTGATGACTAAACCGTGAGTCGATGCTCTCATACTGAGACTTCCGGAACAGACCAGGAACGTGACCATGTGGAAGAGATAGGGCAAGTGTTTCCCCACGTCAAGACAATTATTGAAAGACAGCATCAGCAAGTACCTAGCTAGGATTGCGATGTCGTCCCACATCATATGCTGCTCGAGTAGTGGCGTTGGTGACGTGCAAGTCTTATCCACCACACGACAGAGTCTTCCAATAACTTTTTTCGCAACTAGCTGCACGTTTCCTGAGGCCAGAGCAACTGCTGTATCCGCCATTATTTCCACCATAGGAGAACCTAGGCCGTACCTTACACTTCTGTGTATAAAATTGTCCAAGACTGTATCAATAAGATCCGGAAGTCTTCCTATAGTACTCCAGATTTTTGCTTGAATACTAGGATACATCTCTACCTCTTCGATAGTCAATGTAATCAGTTTCTCTAGAATCTGAGACACTTGCTTTTGCCTCTTACCACCCTCGTCATTCGGTTTATAGAAACGGACTAGGTTATTCAGCCAAGGTGTCATATACTCGAGACACAAGTGCTTCAGTTCAATAGTGGATAATCTAAAGCCCTGGATACACTCTTCGAGAAACTCTAGTGTCAAATGGGGATCGTTAGCAGCCAAAGTCTCACTTAGGTGCTTTATGAATATGGTGTTATTCGAGGGGATGCAAAGACCGGAAGTCTCCAAGAGTTGATCCTCTATCTTGAGATCAAAGGTTGCGGTTAATGCGCACAGTTGATTATAGGCCGCTGTCCGCAGATTTGGATCTGAACTACCTAGATTCAGTAGAGCCATATTTAATAATGTTCCAGGTACATCTTTAGGCCTTATCTTTGGATGGACCGACATCGAGTCCGGTTGCGAGAGCTCCCAACGGTTTCTAATGTGTATGATAGCTTGTACGATGCTATCGCAGTCGTTGTGTATGAAAGACAAGGGTCCAGCTTCGTTAGAAATAGTAAGCGTAAATTGATTATCGTCCACCAAGCACACTTCTTCGATTTCAGACGCGTAGTACACGTCATTAAGGAGCACCGAATGCGAGAGCACTTTGCACTTCTCTGCTGAAGTTATTTGAATCGCGGTAGGTCCCACTTTAACTGACACTTTGGTATCCTTGTGAGAGAGTTTAAGGGCGCTTGTAAAGACCTTAAGATCCTCGTCAAGAGACAGCGTAGCGCCAGGAAGCTTCTGTTGCTCCACGTCGATCAAATCGTTAAGTCTACCTGGACCTTCTATGAAGATAACCTTTCTGTTTCCTTTCAATGGTGCTAAAATTCTGTCATGGAACTTCGTGTACTCGCGCACCCAACTATTACAGTTGTAGATGTAAGCAGCATGAATATTATCGTAAGCTACTTCCGGTAGAACGTAAAACCACTTCTGCAAGAACTCTGTTCTGAAGCGATTGTCTGAACAGGTATGAGTAAAGTCAACTACCAGTTCAAAAGGTGAATGACAGAAAGGTTTTAGAGTGAGAATTACGTGATATATCAGTAGGTCGCCATTTGTTTCTCCAATTCTGAAATCAGAAACAGTTTTAAAACAATGTTAGTATCTTTGATTTTTGTCTACATAATAGGGAAATAACAATAAAATACATCAGTTAACTTACTTGTATCGTCTGGCAATATAATAAAAAACAGGAAATCCTTGCTTACTGGTTCCTGCCTGATAGAAAATATTTAGGCTCTTGATACTCTTAAATTCCTCCTTCTCGTGCATATTGTGCTTCACCATAATCTCTTCAAAGTTTGTCGAGGACATGTCTATGCTGGACCATCGAGCATATGAAGATGAGAAGAGTAAACTGAAATACGTATAAAATATACAAAATCGAGATCTCGGATAAATTAATGTAACAGATTTTTTGCACAATTCTTTACTCACTGAGAATCGACTGGTTTGTGTTCGGGAGGACCAAGATAAGCCAATAGAGTAGCCATTTTGTCAAAAGGCCTTCTTCCAACAGCCTTATGATCCCGACTACTACTCAAATAGTCCCCAATTCTTTCCTGATGATTCCAAAGTAATCTGTGAAGTGCCAGGACATTGGCATCCGACACAAAGGACAGAGGATGATTGGCCTGATCCACTGTCTCACAGTCAGATGCGATTTGGATGAAGAATCTTCTGCCGACCTCAAAGTGGGCTCTTAGGAAATCATTAAACGGCAGCATATGCTGTTCCTTGCTGAACTCTACATGATTTGCTATATTCTGCAGGATCTTAGACATGAGCATGAGACCCCTTTTCACCTGGAGTGGTACCTGCTTACTGACTATACCCATCTCTTGCGGCGAGACAATAGCTGGATTGATGAATCTAAGAAATATTACGGTTCCCACAGCCCCGATATTGTTTTGTGGACACTGTGGGAATCTCTTACTCAGAACTTGATAAAGACAATGGCACATAGATCGCAATTGCGGAGGGAACCTGAAACCAAGTCGAAGGTCAAGAATGAGAGATCACGAAAACTTCATAAAAGATAAAGTATTCAGAGTCAATTTTTACCTATCAGCGGATGAGACGATAGAGTCAAAGACTTTTTGAGTTAGAGCAATAAGATTACGTCCATTTTGTTCTATATCCTCGTTGGCATCAATCCTGGCACTGTCCACCTCGAAACTAGTAACTGGATCATCGAGAAGGGGTTTGATAAGGGGATCCAGGAGACTCTGGAGATAGCTGGCACCGTATATCTTAAAACAAAAGGCCATGATCTTGCTACCAAGACTGTTGCCTCTGAAGAGTGTCTGCATGCAATCCGAGACTTCAACTTCTCGGTAGAACATGTTCCAGAGAAGTGGGGAGAGAAGATGCTTCGCGTCGAATAATGTCACAAAAACTCGGGCCAGTTCGTCCATTTGATTTGTAGTAACCACATTAGCCAAGGCCATTGCAATGGGTAATTCACCCTTGTCGCTTATCATTGTCACCAGCTGGACCAACTGTTCGAATCGATCAGCTAGTACAGTTTCAGCTAGAGTATCGAATTCAGTTCCTTGCTGAAGAATTTTGGTTAGGACTTCCATAAAGGCAGCTCTTGTCTGAAGATCACGGTTGTATCCAAGATCTGCATACCAAGAGATAACAATTATATATATAAAAGAGTTGGACAACAATTGATAATAAAGAATTTGAAACTCACCAATCGAATGCATCAAGCCGCTGTCTATATTTGCACTCAGAAGATTACTCATAGCCTGAATTGTGGCATTACGCAGAGTCGAAAGTTTTCCAGTGGTGACCCTCTGTCTAGAGACCACTTCTTTCTCTTCGGCAGCATCATTACAGTCATTCAGAAGATTCATAAACAATGTAAAATACTTTAGGAACAATTGAGACTTGGCTTCCATAAGATCACCACGATCCGATTCTTCAGGTTGTAGAGGTAATCCTCGTAGAAGAGCTCCTACGGCTTCCATACAGGCCTGATCAAGATCTCTGGAATACAAACTACAACCGCAACATTAACAGATGATACGTAGAAAAATTTCAAAAGATTTTAAACAGAGCAAATTACCTGGTGATGATGGTCACGTCGCCACCACTAGGTGGAGCAATCTGATGCGTAGTTCCCATAACCCAGTCTGTCAGATACTCAACCAGCTTATTCCTAAATTTCATTTCTTGTCTAAAAGCCAGGTCATCCCTTCTCTTCATCATCGCTTCCACCAGCTGACATAACTTTGTCTTAATATGTATAGCATGTACAGTCATATCCAGATGTCTTACATATCTCACAATAGCCAACATCATCCCTTCGATACTTGTCATACCCAAATACTCAGAGGGTTGATCAGTTTTTGAATCGAGGACATTTTTCATAATGAAAATTGTATGTTCAATAAACTGCGTATTAAGATCCAGGACAATAACCTGACCTTGCTGATCAAAGAATTTCTCGACGATGCTCTTGATCTGATCGAATAATATAGGATAAAGAGCGGGGCTCATCTCATGGCCAACAAGCTCCTTCACGTGCTTTTGAATTTGAGCACCAAATTTTTCATTGTTGCAAATAAGAAGACGTAATAAATTAAAAACAAACTGAGTCACCGGACAGTACTGAACTTCCTGACTTGGATTAGCTAAGCAAGCTGGGGAGTCTTGCTTTGCAGAGCCTTTCTTCATTTCAGGATTAGATAGCATTCCTGAGACCGGTCTACTGGGTGATCTTCTATGAAGACAAACGCCTCCTAGTGCACACAGGAAACCAGTCATATTGGCCCATTCATTTATCTGCTCTTCCAGTTCGTGTTCAGAATTCTGATGGGATGCTCTTCGCTTTCCGGTGCTACGATGAAACGATTCTATTTGACCATCTTCGGTTTTTGTCTTTGGATAATTAGACAGCTGTCGCGATGTCGTGTCCCAATTTCTAAACGTCTCTTCCCAAGCCTAATGAACCGGGTAGACATTTAATTAAATAAAAACAATATCACTAATGATTAGCTACTTCACTCAATTAAATACAAACCGGTTGAACCCCGTTTACGCAATGCTCAATTTTTCTAAGTAGACCCATAATTCTCTTCTGCAGAGCTGCTCGTCCTATGAGAATCGTAGTGAAATTAAATCTCTGTAATTTACTAATTAAAAATAAAAATATGTAACTTTATAAGCGACAATGGCTTCTCTAAAAATAATCATAGAGTCTAAATTGATATTTTCAAAAGCCTTGCTAGTTTCGTAGAGTAGGACTCACCGTGATTATGTTCATGATAATATATCCTACTCTCTCCGCTGGCTGTTATAGAAAAATTCTTTTTACTATTTTGTTAACCAAGGATAATATTATTACTCTATCAACTCTATTATCGTTCCCGATAGTAACAACTCAGGTTGATTGCAATGATTGATAATCGGACTAATTATCACATAGGTGACACAACTTCAAATTACTCACCAGTGGTAAGGACGGTAGAGGCCTGGGCCAGTTCCACGTACAAATGATAGTTGGGAAGTAAACAAGTAACACCGACTTCATCGCTTCCACATCGGATCTCTGCTTCTTCGCATAACAATGCGAAACACGACATCGCTACGAGAACGGCCTCCATATCTATACTCCATAAGTACATGAAGAAAACAACCTAGAACAAAAATAAGACTTGTAGGTACATTTTTATTTTAGCAAATAACATTTTTATTTAAGGATCAGAATATACAAACTAACCTCAAGCTTGATATGCGCCTGCTTGCAAATAGCAATTTCGCTACCAACATTGGCATAATCTTTATTTTGCGAGAGGAAGGCGTTCCTGCAGATGAGTATCTCCCGGAGCCACTTAAGGATGTCTGTGTAGTTGACAATCTGATGTTGAATGAGTTTCTGCGATATGGAGAATAGTACCTGGGAGCTTACATCCCAGAAGGTATTGATAGGAGCTTCTGGATTCCACACTTTAATTTTGTCAGGATGATGAAGAACAAGAAGAGCCTCCATAGCCTCGTGTGCGATATCTGGCATGGTTGGTTGATGAACTAGAGATACTAGACCGTTAATTAGCTCCAGGGTGGAACTTTGGATCTCATGTCCAGCATTGCTTTGATTCTGAAATACAATAATTTTTTAAAATCTCCTATGTGACAATGTTTCTTATGGAACTTACATTCAGCATGAGCATTGGGTCAGCGTGAATCAACCGGACCATCCAGAGTAGAAGATTTCTATAGCTAGAAATTTCTTCGCCACGGTCTCTATATTTACTCTGCTCTTTACCCTTGAGCGTAAGACTCTGAATCATACGCAAGGTCGTGTGTGATATGTAAGTCTGGGTGACCTTATTTAACGTGTCGGTAAACATGTTCCTGAGCTCAGCACTGCGCGAGTAAACGAGATCTATCTGTGGCCACCATGGTAATCTCGGCTGAGTGATGATTCTGAAAGAAATTAGAGTGATTGATTAACAATTGACTTAAGATTGATAATAAAATAATATCGGAATTCTTTTGGAATTTTGACTTACTTGTACAATGAACTGACCAAGACGAACTGATAGGTTGCCGGAAAGTTTAAGTTCAAACAGACCTTAAGTACTTCGTTGTTATGTGGTTTGATACGAAAGCAACTGACAAAACAATCGATCATTAGGTCGATATCTTGAACTATGTAGTTCTGACCTCGGGAGAATGGTTTGCAAGGATTAAATAAAAGGGCTGTGAGGTCGTTTATCACGTGCTGGACCAGAGTGAACGCCACGTTGTTTGAATCAAGGTTGTTTATGTAGGTAGAAGCTTTGCAAAACTTGACACAGCTTATAGCAGCAGCTTCAGCAAGCTGCTTATTGGATCCACTGTGTCCTAGGCCACGTTTTACACTGTCGATAAACATCTTCTTCTTAGAGTGCTTAGGCGAGCACGGTGCACCCGAGTCAGCGTTCACAATCTCTTCTAGAACTTTAGGAGAGAGAACCAGCAGCATGATCTGTATTGGCCAGACCAGTGTGGCCCTGCCCTTTTTATTATTATTGTCTGTGAATGTATCCAAGATGTCGAAGAGCTCTCCGCAGACCTTAGCCAACTCTTCGTTCACGGTAGTTTGTAGATCGGCGAATTCATGGGGATAAGTATCCATCCAATTCCAAATAGCCTTCTCCAAGGAGTTCATTAAAAGCACATGAGCAGGCTTTTTCAAATGCTTGAACTTTTGGATGGACTCTGTGGCAACTTATATAAATAGTGATACGATAAACGTAAATGATAAGAACATATAAAGAGACGAGAGGGAAACAAGCTTTACAATGGAAACTAATTCATTTCAGTATTAAAAGTAAAAACATACCAATCAAGAGTTTGGTGAGTCTGTGAACATCGACATTGATATGCTGAATGAGTTCGATATCAATGCAGTCAGGATTTTCATCATTGCACACAGAGAGCTCTTGAAGTCTAGCAGAGATCTTATTGAAGACAGCATTGAAGAAGTTGAGACTGAGGGCAAACAAGACCTTACTGCCAAGATTCTTCACGTGGGCACTTTGAGGGCTCTCGCTGGAGTAATCTGAAAACATGCCAATAGTTCATGATAACACCATTTAAAAGACTCCAGTCATTATCTAATGGATAAGTCTCACCGATAAATTGGCATATTTCCCTAAGAAGCAGCTTAACATTCATAGCCTCATCAAACTTCGTGGTGTCTTTGGGTTGATTGCTGAGACACCGTTCCAGGGTATCCAAAACTATAACAAAGGACTCATAACACTGACGATCCTGTTCAGTTGCATTCAAAGTGCGGGGCTGTCCAGTAGTATTAGGTCCTAGGATCTCGTTCACTCGTTGCAGCATCTTCGTAAGGCCGGATATCACCAGTGAGAATCGATACCTCGATATCTGTATCAAGCACTTCTTGTTTTTCTCATCGTTGATCCGAGGATGCGTAGTTTGAGAACCGCCACGGCATGGTAGCTAAGAAAGAACAAACACCTCGATAAAATAATGTTAATCAAAAGCTCACGAACTGTCGAAAAACAAAAACTCCAATTCCTAAATACACAATATGCAATAGAATCAATCACAAATGATTTCTCATACTTATAAGGTTCTCCATTGACATCAGAAGCGCTAAACCAACCGCAGTTTTCTGACTGCCACTCGTCCTACTAGAGTTCCTCAGTCATTCATTCAAGAGAAATACAATTTTAATTCATGCATTTGCGACAGCAAGATAGAGGGCCATAAATGGGTGGGGAGTTCGAGACCCGGTGACCCGATCGAGTAAAGCAGCAAGAGGGTCACGACTCGTGAGGTGAATAGAGGCATATCCGTTATAATTGAATTGGCAAAAATGAAGGTCACCATAAAGAAGTCTGAATGGGGTAATAGCTCTTTAGCTACTAGAATAAAGTACATAATAATAAAAGAATGAATGGATCGGTCGGATTATCCTCATGAAGAGGACACCACCGATGAAGATTCTTATGAATGAAATGAAACCCATTGCCACCAGTTTCCGGCCGGAAGTGGTAGCAGCCGGTTCCTATTACCGATCGGTTTCTCTCTCGGTGGCGCCTCGCTTCCTCCTCTTTCTCACTGTCTATCTCACCCTGGCCCTCTATCCCTCCTTCCTGTCAAGGCAACCGCGTGCATATCGATTGGTGCACGCGGGCAGGGCCGAGCAAGGAGGGAGAAAGAGAGAAAAAAGCAAGAGAAAGATAGAAAGAGTATGCGTGGAGGTGTAGGGAGGAAGGTATATACATATGTAGACAAAGAGAGAGAGAGAGAGAGAGAGAGAGAGAGAGAGAGAAGGAAGTGCAAAAAACGATGAAAAGGAGAAGACGGGGAGGAAGAAATAAAATAAAAGAATAAGAGTTAAAGCAAAAAGAAGAGAAGCAAAGATACGGTCAACGCAAGGCGCTCGTAGCAGCTAGTGACACTCTTACAATACCACCAGGTAGCAGAAGACTGTCACGATTATTACAATAGAGACACTACGCAGATGTTACGGAGGATCCTCTAGTGAGAAACGGCAGGCTGGACAATGAATGCCATAGCCTCGAGAGCGGGTGGGGTTCTGTTATTTGATAAGCTGCGAGAGGAAAGACCCTCTCTCGGAACCCAATGTGGCCGCAATAGGAGTCTTCGTTGAGAGTTATTACAATCCGGTGTACCTGATCCTCGAAGCGCGCGATTAGCGAGTTGGCCCATTCGCCCGGCTTTTGCGTGCCCATCGCCGCCCGTTTACGCGCGTGCCTCAATGACAGCCCGTCATATCACGATCGAGGATTCGCGAGCAGCTCGCGGCGAGCAGTGACATCAGCCCGACGCCATTTACCAACATCAACTGGCTAGCGCGCTGCTCTGATAGATGGGTGGGGAGCCTCACCCTGTGGTGGGGATGATCGGCCCCTTATTTGACCAATGGGAACGCTTCTGGATCTGGGCGCATGGTCGCCCCACTACGCAACCGCGCCATTCATAAGCACGATCCTTGTGTTCCGTTTATTAATGACTGATATGAACGTGCCGACATATCATTGACCAGGCATTTTTTGCTCTTTGATTCAACCCGAAGATCCACTATCATGTGTATTGATTAAAAAATGCCTTTTAAACGATTACGTATACTTTGACGAGAAACAAATGGTACAGCTTATTATCGGGGTCAATAATATATTTTTTATCTTATCGTGACTAATCTCAATTAATTATAAACTTCCTGTTTGCCTGTCAATGATAAGCGATTACGTAGATCAATTTGGCACGTGTAAGAATTCATACCAAATTCATATAGGGGGATATATACATATGTGTTTATTGGGAATGGGATAGGAAGTCTACCAGGTGATGTAAAGAAAAGGATGGAGATATTTAAAAAGAGGAAGGTAAACATGTACAATGATTTAACTTGTTTATCTCTAATGTGGCAGTGAGAATTAGTTGTTTTATATATTGTACTGAACAAGTTACATTCGCAGAAAGCAGAGAGGAGTTCGCAAGGTAATATATGCCTCATTGCACGAAGGCTGACAATGGCTGAGGAACAATGTAGAATCTTTCATATGTATGTACAGGCTTAGTATATGTATATAATCAGTTTACTTAAACCTAATTGTTACAATTTTAATAGAACATTCAATTTTGAACACTGCCAGTTTATTAGGCGAGACAGATTTGACAAGCAATTAATCAAATTGCATTTTGTCTACTGGCTGAAGGAACCATTTTTTCATAGTGTACTGACTTGAGGAGTTATAACAAAATTTCTTAATTTTGTAGACTGGATGTTATATTCATTCCGTTTCATTCTTTTAATATTTACAGCATACAGTTTACTCTGCCTGTAACTCATGTGATTCTGGAGGAAAGAGTTGTCAGCCTGTGCTGGCTTTTAACGCATAATTGACTCAATGATATGACGCAATGTTCATCATTATTAGTCCCCGCGTCACTAGACTGCTGGCGTGAACTCGTTTGTTTTTTCTGTGCTCTGGAGAAATGACATGAGAATTTATGTTGTTCCTTCGTTCGCTCACTGACTAGACTCTATATTGCTGGACTTTAGTTTTCTTTACACTTTATCCCTTTTGCACCAGTTAATATAATTTGTGATGGCGGAGTGGCTGCTAGCATCCGTTTGTTAGTAGTAATTTATACGAGTATGCTGAATGCTTTGTTTCATTTAGATATCTTTACAAAGTATCCTTTACGATGCTTAACAATCCTTCGATGTTTCTAGTAATTTTCTTATTCAGTAAGAATGAATACTGCGCCTAGGTTTGAAAATTGGTACATATCACTTAATTAATAAATTATGGCGTATCTACGTGTATACATACAGAATGAATAATTATATACAGTTAAGAGTATAAAAGTTTCTATTGTGCATGATTTTTAATTATGAATAGTGAAATGAGTAGATTCATTTTTCGCTATGGCAATTTTTCGATTTTCTAGTTTTTACCTATATACAAACAGTGTCGAGTAATTTGATATACGTATTTCATGATTAGCATCACTAATTTTCTTATTAAAAAATTCCACACAACATGATTATGCATAAATGAGATCATGATGTAATTAAGTATAAAGACATGCACGTGGCACGCGAATATTCTTATATTCTTTAATCGCAAAGCAATTGATTGTTTGGATTAATTGAATTAATCGGACAAAAGCGTACTCGATCATTCTTAAATATAAATTCTAACTGATTCATGATTAAAAATAATTTCTTCGCATAGGCAAAACTAACGGGTTGCAAATTAATCATAACGAGAAATTGTAGTGTATGCCTTATGCAGTTAGAAATATTATGAATATCTGAAAGTCATCCACCTCGTATCAAATAATGATGACTTTCACAAGAATTTTTATCAGCTATAAATACCCGTCGACGTGTTGGCCTTCGACATGAAAAACTAGCGATTTCTTGAATGATAATGATTCCGGCTCATAACAGTCAGAAATCGCAAATAAAGTTACTATTAGAAATTATTCAATCCTATTAACTCTACACTACTTATGCTCGAAACAGATCTCACAAACTTTCCACGTGCAAATAATTTAAGAAATTCGGAAAATTTAATTTCTTACGAAAATTGTCCTAATCTGTGAACTTTTGAGGTCTCAGAGAACTCTTACCAAAGTCACTTGGGAATAACATAATTTTGACAAGAGAGAGGCAAAATAACATTAATACGCGAATCATAATAAATAATTAATCACGCTCCATTGACATTTATAAATTAATAAATCTTAAGACATCAACAACAAACATTCCATACCCTTTACGTACAAGCAATAGATATTCAGTAATTCATAGTCGCGATTGCAGACAACAAAATTGATACTTCCATATACGCGATGAAAATGTTTCTAAATAATTTCTAAAATTGTATAACAATTCGCGTCATACTATAAAGTATGGTAATGTGACATGATTTAACGAGTCATAAGAGTCTCTGTGATTCAGATGACGTTATTCTGAGCGACAAGATCAGAAAATAAAAAAAAGAAATAAATAAAAGTGGAATCAAAAAATTCCTTAAAATTTTTCCCTATGCCAATAAAAACTTTCAGTCTCAGTCGTTAATCACTACACTTCGAAATGTGCTGCTTGTGACCCTCCAAGGATCCCTGATTCCTGAGAGCAAGTTCCTCTTCAAGGACTTGGATGACTGCATTAAGGATATCAACGTCACGCAGACGATGCTTCTCGATACAACGAACACTCTTAGGATCCAAATCAGAGACACCCACATTTGCCAAATAATGTAAACCTTCAGATATCTTGATCACGTGATCAGAAGGAACATTAGATGACGTATTTCTAAAAAAAAGAACACAAGCTCATCGTTAACCGCCTGAAAAGGAACAATTAATTAAACAATAATCAATAAATCAATACATACGGATCAAACTCTCGAAAGGCCATGAGGATTGAACAATCTCTTGCAGTAGAAAACAATAAGTAATTCTGTAAAACCCGCAGCTGTTCGATGCTCAATGGATTGTTGGACGTCTTGACATCAATTTTGCGTTTTTGCCTTATCACACTGTTCCGCTTATTAATGAGTGATACCGAATTCGTGGCTAAGTCTAATTTCTTTTCCTCCTTTATATTCGAATCATTATTAAAAATCCAATGACAGCAGTGGGTCTCGTTGCGTCTATTCCCATTAGTATCCTGAAGTTTGATCTTACAAAGTGACAGATTCCTTGTGTATAATTCATTGGTATCTTCCATGGATCTTTTAACATTATCACTTTGTGTCAAGTATAAATGAGCCTGCTGTATTCGGAATGATCAGACTGTTACTAAAATTAATTAACCTGACTGACTAGCAATAAGGTCATCTCATTAACGTTACCTTTCGCTTGTGACTGGCGACGTGTTCTCGCGACTCCATTTCATTTCTGTGCATTTCAATAATATTAGAATATATAACCTCGTCGTTCAGCACTGCACGATATTTCGAATAAATTCGATAAACAATGTCTGCACTGCAGTAAGGTAGTTGTTGCATGCACAATATTCGTCCCAGTACCGAATCAGGTGGTAGATGACCGGTAGTAAAATTGCACTCCTGTACAAGGTAAAGAAGTGTCACAGATTTAGTTATTTAATGTATAAGAGTAAAATAGGTAGATTCGATACCTTGATTAATTTATAATTATAAATCAATTGAATATTTACTCACTTCACCGGCAAAGTATAAAATCTTCTTGGCCTTGGCGACAATTTCCAAATTCATTCTAGATGGTGGATCAAGGTCATCGCAAGGTTCTACATGTGGATGTGATTCAATGACTGACTGTAAGTTCTGAGGAAAAGAACGTAGAAGCGTGGCGATGACCAGACTTGAAAACTTATTAAAGTACTGCTCCGGGGTACAAGGTGTGCTGCTTGGAAACCAGTCAGCGAAGATGTGCTCTATGTCATCAGGGCATGAGTCCTGACTATAGACAATAATCCCATCCTTGAAGATCTTTAAATTATTCTGTGGAGATTCCAGTAGACCACGCAGAGCATTCTGCATCCTGTCATTATCCCCAGAGAAGAGGTCTAAGGGACAGTACCTACTACGCTGTGACACTGTTCCATTTTTCAACTGGAATAAAAAGTATTTTAATATTTAAATAATCATCTATTCCAATTCTCAGGATATTTATAGTGTTATTCATGGTCATTAGAGATACTGACTTTATAATACTGTGTGAGACAGTAAGGACACTTTTTAAATTGACATTCCTGATCATGGAGAAATCCTTGCTTTGGCTTTATTTCCACGCAGAAGGTGTACTTGGCTGGTTCATCAGAGTGGGCTTCGGGTGTATCAAAAGATGGTGGTAAAAACGTGTAGTCTGGAAACTTGGTAGCATACTCCTCGACGATTTCCTTATTACGCCTGTATTCTGGAACGGATAAGAGTAATTAGTTATAATATCTCTCAGTTCATCTCTGAGTCATGACTTTGTCTTCAGCTACACAGTCAGGCTGTTTGACTGATTATCATCTTAATGATTAACATGGTTGCTTTCGTTACAGCTCTCACGTTTTAACAGTCTCTTAACGCTCTTAAACATTATCCCTGTATTCAGCTAAATGTAAGAAAATGTATGAGATATTGAACGACTCAGAAAGTTAAATCCTTTGTATGTTAATTTTCGAAAATATGAGATACTATTTTACGTCTGAAAATTGCAGTTGGTTTAGAAGTAATGTGATATAATTATGATATATTCTAGAATACATATGTCGTACGATGATGTATTCGCTCGTAATGCTGCAGCGCCGTAGGTATTTTAAATTGCGCGTGAAAACGGATGTGTTGCCCTAGTTAAAGAATCAAAAAGACTCTTTATGACATAAATTCATTTTATTTCAATATAATGATATATCGTCTTAGAATTCAAATTTCTTGTTTTGACTATTTACCTTCAACATTGGGAAACATATAATGTCATGCCACTGACATAATTATCCGATCAAACGTGTCAGGATCATTGGTCTGATCATCGTTAGAATACGAATGCCTGTACGAGGTCAACCATAGTACCGATACGTATTGCCTGATAGTTGAAGTATTATAGAAATAACTCATCCATTAAAGTTTTCTGCTATGGTCTAGTGACGCGTGTTTATTTAACATAGAAATTCAAAAATGTATTCAGGTGATGTAAATACGCATCGATGATAACAAGATACAAAAATCCACATGGCCATTGGTATACGCGAAGTAACTGGCTAGTCGAACAATTCGTATCTACTCGATGAATTTCTCACAGATCGTGTCTTTTTTTTTCTTTTACATTTCTTGTCTTGCGCCCCAAGGTTGAGTCAGAAAAACGTACGCATGGTGACTTTTTTGCGATTGGCGTGACATCAATGTTTCCCGGGAATTCATGCGTGGAACAAAAAGGAACTCCTCGTGTCCTACATCTGGCAATTACATCCGCGTTAATTTTTTTCCACAATCTTTCGCTTTCATCTATTCGCTTCGATGACTCCTGATATATACAACACTGAGATCGCCATTTTGTACTCTATAGACAATTCCCGGCATGCCTTTAATTTTCCGCGATGTAACCCGTGGAAAATAATATTTTAATACAAGTAACAGCTGCCAGATGGCGCCACTGTGTTATTCCATTTTTTATTCCTACTAAACGTTTCTTATTTTTTCAGCAGAAAAGTTGTTCCGAAGAATGAAATGAAGTAAAATGAAATAAAATGAAGTCTTGAAATGTGAAAGAATTTCAAAATGAATGATGGAAGCATCTCGTTGTTTTTCCGACTACAAGTCCCAGTGGAAATTCCGAGTATTCTAACAACATCTAACTTTATCCTATAAGGACCCAACGATTTTTTGCCTCTCTCTGCTACTTGCTGCGGCTCTAAGATGTTATCGCTTTAAAATACATTTACTACCATCATGCTATAAACCAGTACCTGCTGGTATAGACGTGAGCACTTCGTGTAGATAGTCGCATTAGATGTGAAGTCTCGTTGAGCCTTCGATATGACAAATAAGTCGAACGACTCGTGCGGAATAGTAACTAAGATATTATTGGACTTTCGACACTCCTTATAATGTAAATATATTTAACAAGTTCGTAATTAGAATTGCACGTAGTCAAGTTTTACGAGTAAACGGTTCCCAAACACAGATTATCTCATAGCTCTACTTGTTCTTTTTCTGAAAATTGCCAAGGGAACATTTTTTTGTAATTATGAAATAGACAAAATACTTTTACGTCCAACATTTGGTAACGCTGTGGATACGAGAAAGAAGACAAGATATTATCTTGCTCTTGATCTGTTTCGTGAGTTTGAATAAAATGTCACGTGGATGACGATAGTGCGCGACACTCTTTCTTTTGTTTGTTGTACAAACACTTTCCCCCCGGTATGTAAATAAATTGAATCCAAGCAAATTCGCAAGAATACTTCGCAACAACAAGATTTCATATTGACGTTTGTTTAACGCGAATAAATTCAAATCTACGTATACGACGGTTTACAAGTAATGTTATCGTCTGTGCTGCAGGCAGCGCTCCATGCGGATTTTATGGTAAACTATCTTTTTCCTCGATACCTACGGGGAATCCCCGATTTTTGTCTACGAGGACAGAACCTCGTGTGCAGTCTTTTTCATTGTTTTACAGGAAACTTATTGTCTCCAGAAAATCGTCAGCAAGGAAGTCCGAACTTTTTTGACAGTCTAACGAGTGTAAAAATTAATTTTAATAACATAACGTTGAATTGCCATAAATTTAAAGTGACAATTGGCAGAATGCACAGGTCGATTATCGCCGATAGGTCGTAATGACGTAATGATTAAGGATTGTGACAGCGTGGAAGTGAGGTAGAAAAAACAACGAGGTCAGTCTGGTATCGCGTAAACGGGACTTAATGCGATGACGTCACTTATAGTCATTTAATTCCTAGGATTTATCGAATGCTCGTCTATCATCAGTATCATATTGGCAATTGCTGATAAGTCGAGTCTACGTAAACAGATCTTAATCGGATGACGTCAAAGTCACGAATTTGCTTCTTGTCATCAGCGATAATCGATACCAATCCAATCGATCGATCCATAACGAATCGATTTAAAATTAAGAATCACACCATCGTGAGAAGCAATCTCATAAAAAAATTATGGCAACTGCAGTAATCAATTTTAAATCGTATCTTTGAATTATCAATTTTTTTATATTAAATTCATCGATCTCAATATTCTGAAACGTCGAAATACTAAATAGCCGTATTTTTTATCCCCATCACACTATTATGATGATCGATTCTCGTGATAGAGACTCTTTACCAGATCGCACTTTACATGTGTATAAAATTATACATCGTCCTCGCAATCGCGATAGGCCACGATACTCAATATTACGAGAACCTCCAACAATAATGGATTAAACGAAATTGATGAGTCAAATCTACAAAATCTAAAAAAAATTCAAATCGAATTGCGTATCTGTCGCGAGAAGCTACGACTATATATTATTGTCAAGAAAGCATCTTAATGACTCTAGGAAAGAGATAACTAACCTAACCCAACGTAATCCCTACCGAGCACGTTCTCTCAGTTCCTGCTATAGCCTACAGTCTGCGAAGCTTAGCTTACCTACTTCGATGTGTGACTTAAAATTAAAGCTTTTATTTCCCCCCATCTAATTTACATAACAACAAACTAACCTGTCATACATCGACTAATGGTACAATATTAGCTCCACGATTCCGTCACGGTTCGTTTCATAAAAAAAAAAAAGGAAAAAAAATTCCTCTGTGTAATCGTCAACGAAAATCTAAATGCAAAAACCGATCTCGAGTCCCGTCGATACTAGCAGCAGATTAATCGACATGGCTTTGTGAACTTCATTGTTATTATCAATGACTTGTACGATTCAGTTGCCAGATAAGGATATTAAAAAAAAACCAGCCAGAGGCTAACAAAAAATTATCAAACAATTCATTTAGACGTTATCCTTGAATCTTGATGAATTTCTACATGCGACCGGTCGCATGTTTACTTACACCGACGGGCTTGGTGTTCGTAATGATAAGGAAACGCGAAAGCTAAATAGACATAACGAATGCCTTTGGCATTGCCTTTAATTAACGGTTTGTCAATTTCAACGTTGTCTGCGAATTCACCCGGGTCCAATTCTACATGCCGTTTCTTTTCGCTCGCGGGTGAAAGTGCAATTCCCTACATAACGGCTGAAGCGAGCTGAGTTTGCATTGAAAACGTCAACGTGTCTCAATACAGACAAAACAGCCGAAGTCCCTGTAGATTGGCGAATAAATAAGTTTCCCAAGTTGCTAAAGAGCAAGCTGTTCGAAAATATTAACGTAAAATTAATTGAATTTATAGCAAATAATATTTTCATTGGCGATGCTCAATGTACGCGTAAATCTTGTTCGCCGCGTCGCCGTTAGATCGCGCCACGCGCGGTTTCTCATTCGCAGCATCGAGGCGCACGGAGGCTCAAATGTATTTCGTGAACTATGCAATTTGTCTGCACACGCTAAGCGCTCTATTCACTTGAAATCTTTAAGTTCCTTATCGCTAAAGGTCAATACCCACTGTGCTCGTTACGAAAATCCGAAATCAAAGACCTCCGTGCGCTTAAGATTTTCTCCCGGTGTCTCTCGACAGATACTACTGACGAAAGATTTCCGAGGGCAACGCTGTCTATATCTACAGTCTCTCACTCACTCGGCACGCAATTTCGTACGCAATGTCGTTACCCACAAGGTCACTAAGCACTGCTGAGTAACATTAATATTCATATAAATAGAAGGAAGGCGGCAGGATATCTCTCTGTCGTTACCTCTTGAATTTTAGTATAATAAAGCGGGATGTATGGCGCCACGCTTAAAAAATCTTTAACACTAATAAAAGAGCAGCGGCTCTAGGCTTCTAATGCGTCAGTTTGCAAACTTTCAAGGTAATAATATATATGATTAAACTTTGAAAAAATCGATACTATGGATGGATATACGGATAGTCACTATTTTAATTTTTTTTTTGCCGCGATCATCGCGCGTCTTAAAATCTTATTTCAGAGTCGAAAAGATAGGTTTTTCGAAAGAAAAAAAAAATGTTAGTTGCCTGACCGCTGAGAAATTTTTAACGGTCTATTTAGAATTCGACGAATTTCCATACGACTGTGTCGATGCGATAAGATGACAAGAAAAAAAAAGGATCAGTGATTTTACGTAATTTCGAGAAGTGAAAAGGGTAAGAAAAATTTACGTTAGATGGAGCGAATAACATTTAAGTCGACGACAAGAAATTCACGAGAAGAAAACAGCCGTTCTATGTTAAATCATAAATTTGGCTGACGATCATTTCGCAACGAGTCATATTAAATAAGCATTATAAAACAGCAGCAAATCGAACTTTCTCTAATTTTCATTTATTTGCTTTTCCGATTCACCTAAAGTCCTAGTAAATTTTAAATATTTTCCTCCCAACGATCAAGTCCAAAATACAGTAGATCTAAGTGATGAAATTGATCAAATTAGTAAATGAATTTTTTTCATAAACTCACCCGGTCGAAAAGCATATATAGCTTCGGAAAGTGCAGCCATGTCGTCCTGGTTGCCGCGCAGGATATATGGTGTCTGGACGTAGCATCCAAGGAAGCCGGAAATTACGCTCCTGAGGAAGTCGACCTCTCGTTCGACTCGCGCTCTTCCGGCATCGGGCGAAACCTCGCCCGGACTCGATTTCCGGAATCGAACTACCTTGCGTTCCTGAAAATTAATTCACTGCGTTAAATCCGTCTGCTAGCACGTCTAACGCTTCCTCCATGTATTATTAATCAGATTGACTATTCATGGCCGCACATTACATATACCCATACATTACAAAATTTAAGTTACCTCCATAGTCGATAATTTCAAAAATTAAATCCCACAATGATAACAATAAGTTTTGTAAAAAAAATGTACCACCTCATGATACCCGGTAGGTAAGGTTATTGACTACGTTATCGACAGCGACATCTCGGTCGATAATGATCAAACTATGTCGATAACTGCGTGAATCGCCAACCTTCTCCATATTAAAATTACGACGTAAATATGAATATAACGTGTCAAAGCGTAAATACAGAGCACAGTACGCAACTCCATAAATAACCTGGGATGCATCGAATTATTTTATCCGACGGGATAATAATAAAGCTTCTAATGATACGTGTAACGTGTAAATACATTATTTATTACTATTCCCGTTGCGTTCTATGACGTGTATATCAATTGGCCGCCATCTTTCCTCTTCGCGTTACGCATAATAAAGGCAAACGCAACTGCTTCCTCTTCCTGGTCGAATATATTTAGCATACATGTACATTGCCATGACCTTTAATACCGATAAAAATCACGATAACTTTTTATAACCCCTTATCGATAAATAACAATCCATCCATGACCAGCCCCAACGAATCGTGCAATTCAAAATTCAGAGAAATATAAATTTTATCAATAAAAAAAAACATCCTCCAAAGTTTTTAACGTTTTAATTTACAAAATTGTCACGTTAATTTTTGACAACAATCTTTTTTAATTATATATTTTCATTTCTCATTTATAAAATGTTTCAGTTTCTACGACAAACAAGAAACTAACCTATAACCAACTGACATATGTCATTTATATATATATCCTAAGCACGCCCCAGGGTAAAGACCTATTACAAAAAAAACCATATATCTCTCCACGAATTTACAAAAAGAGTAGAAAATCTTCAATTTCCAAATGCACAATAGAATCGTAAATTTCTGAAATCCAAGGCCGTTTAATAAACGTCAAGTGGTACCTCTGAACTACGTAGTCACGGAAATTAGGTAATTTCCTAGTCGCTCGTCTGACTAACAGCGAAATCGATAAGCTAAGTTCGTTCGCTCACTGACGTGGCTACTCGTCCCTTACGTCACAAAAGTTCCTGGACTTTTCCGTACTAAACTATATACCACAGTGGTACAACGTACTGTACCTACATCACCGTGTACAGTAAATATACACACGAACCTACTACTGTATGAAAATTCACGTAGGAGCAGATATGACTTTTCGCGCGAAGTGCTTATTAAAAGGACGCACCAGGTACATACGGCTGACTCAGAGTTCCCTTGACTGGCAGTCTTTTTAATATAGCTAAACAGAAATTCGAACGATAAACACTGTCAACGACGTCAGACTAGCGAAGACATAGCCATAATATTATTAAAAGCAACAAACTTAATTATTATGAATTATCAGTATCGGTTACTATGTATTACAAGCGACAGCCGCATCGATAAATAAGCGTACGGAACAGTTCGCAAATGGTTAATAAGTAAAAAGAATAATACTACAATAATTGCCATAGCGATACCTTAACCTCTTTTCGTTACTTAAAACAGCATAACGTCGAGCGATACCGGAATTGACTCGTGTACACAAAGCCTGCGTTCCTAAAGCGGTACAGTCGCTTGCGTAAGAGATCTCTAACAATAAGTATATGAGGTCTTTGCCCTTAACGATATATTTCAATGAGATTGTCCTCGAGTGACCTGAAATATGGGATAATAATATTACTAGACAGTATATCCTCTCAAGTATATACAATAATCCAGACATCCCACGGTCATATGATTTATGTATGTTCAACCGTATATCTACGTCCAAATAATCAGGAGCTCCGCTCGCCAAGACTGCTCCGACGGTTCTAAAATGGAAGCATAAGTATACGTCGCATCGATCAGACCTCGTATCCCCACTCCTCTGACAAATTCCCACCACCGTGTAACTATAGACAGATTGGTCATCCCCACTCCAGAAGAATCAGGGGGTCAACGGCCAATAGCTAATATCCTTCAATACACAGCCACCTATATTTCAGCCAATGACGTCGCTCGTACGCAAGAGTCCTGTAGAGTATTAAATGCTTAACTGATTAGCAAAAGGCACGTACACACGATGCAACGCCGCAGGCTTGTAAACTGGATCAATGCTTACCGAGGTTAGGACGCGAAAGAATATAAAAAAAAGAGACAAAATAAAGCAGGTATAATAAAAACGAGAATCCTTACTGGTAATGGAAGCTTACAGCGTGGTATAGTCGATAGCCGGTAACTGTGTCAGTACTGGAACTGTGTTTGGGTTTTCCGTGTCTTTGTTTTTCACTTTTTTCTCTCGCTTCTTAATCCTCTGTCGCAACTCGACGTTGAATATTGTTCTGCGTCATCTACCTATTCACTGATACGTAAACCACTGTTTTTATGCGTACACGTAGTCGATGATGCAGTTTCGTTACTATGTAGATTGACTTATCAGTGTCATGACTGTTTCGAAGGCCGCTGTATACACGTCACTGTATTTTACGCGACTTTCGACTTACCCAATGGATTTCCACGGCTTGCGAAGCGTACGGAGATTATGGACGATTTGCATCAAGATGGTAATAATTTTTTGACAGATTTTATGTGAGCTCCTTTACCAACGAAAAGCCATGTGACAAATGCGTTAAGCTGCTTCGTGACTCTGCAAATAGTGTACAGGCATCCAGAGGCGTTGTAACGAATGCTTTTTATCTTTTTATGATATATCGGAAAATATTGACTGACGATAATACCACCTGGCTTTGCCGGCTCTTCGTCTTTAATCAGGAGGCAAATATCGAACGTGCAATGTGCGTAATTCCTCAGCTAATAACCTAACCTAACTTTAGCTAACCTCTATTTTTGACACGTACCAACGTACGATACCGTCTCGACGGTCTCTCGTATGGTAACTATACATGATGCGTGTTCGTATGAAATTAAAAAGCACAAGGTTTATTGAGGTTAGGTTGGGTTGGGTTACACAAATTATACATTAATAAACGCATACTCGCTAAAGGCGTCGCAAAATGCTCACGCTGACTAAATACACCGGGCACTAAGCGTGACGACACTCGTGACCGATCGATTTACTGAAACTTCGGGAAAATACTAATAATTGTATAAACGTATAAGTATTTTAACGAAAAAAAAAAATAAACAGTTTAAAGTAAGAAATAGAATAAATACTTCGATTACTCGCATTGACTAGGTTCTATGAAGTTTATATAAAACGTGATATTTACGTGGACGAATATTTGACTGATGTGTCAAAATGGCGATAACGATTTGATTGGTTAATTAAAACCGGGATCAATTGAATGACTATCGACGACACACATAGACTTCGTAAGCCGAACCAAGAGGAACAAAACCCGTCGACGAGGATCAAATAAAACGAAAACTTTTTTTTCATATATATTCTGTAGATTCTGGAATACGTCAAAGTACGTAGTCTCGCAGTATCAACTGCGCAAAAGATTGTAACTGGCGAGTGGGATAGCATTAAAATTCGCATTACGGAATTAGCTGGGTCAGCGAACCGCTCCGGTAAGGCTTGAAGGTTACGTATACTTGGCCAATTTAAATAGTCGACGCTATGAAGCGGCAACGTTCACACTGTTCGGTAGTAGGGATAATGGTAAAAGCAATCGAGGTAGGGTACACAGTATGGCATTTTTTCTCTTCCTCTAACTCACGCCTTATCGTCCTCTTATCTGTTCGCGAACAAGCAACGGCTCTGCTGGGTCTGTATTTTTTCTTCGTAACGACTTTATAGCGATTTTCAAACTTTATGACGTACATGCGAAATCAAACGAACGACCATACCGACGGAGAGTGATTTTCATCGAAATTCTACTTTATCGACACGAAAAATTTGAGAACGCCAAACATTAACCAATTCGATTTCGTCAAACGAAATGACGCGAGTGAGAGAAGGGAAGGTATGAAAAATAAAAATAAAAAATTCCAATAACATTTCTCAATGTTTCTCCAGGTGGCGCTAAAGATGGCTGACCTCCATTTGTGGAGTGCTAGGGTTCGTTCACACGAGCTAACCTAACCTCACAATACTACTCCTACTACTGCAGCTGTATACTAAATTTCCCACAATGCATTTCTACGCCGACAAACAAGGGGGACACCCAACGCGTTATCTACATGAAAAATATAACGAAGACACTCGCGGACCGGAAATCGAAGCGAATAACCTCTTCCTTCTTATCTCGTCCCGCGTTAATTAACCAAGTATTTTTATTTATAAATTATTTATGCATACCGACGGCAAAAAAGATAATGCCAGCTAAGAACGTAACGTACGTTAAATTTTGAATGCAAATATTATCAACCTGTTTCGTGGATTATATTATCATTGGAGGATTGTTTAAAGATAAGCATGGGTGCGTCACGATATTCTTATTGCGACGTAGCGACTGAGGAATTTTTTTTACGTGCTGCTACGCAGCGACGAAAACGTTAAATCGATATGAATTGTTATTGTCATTAAATGAAAATGTTTTTACTAGCGAAACAGTACTAATGCATGCGAAGGCTAGTCTGATAATTTGTTATTTACAGAGTTTATTATTGTTTGCAATAAGATTTACTAGCGAGATGGATATTTGTGTCGATAAAACATCTTGTTGCGATTGGACAAATATTTTCCCATAGGTGCATAAAAAACCACGTGGCTCGCTCGACGTACTTCGTATATTCCTTTTACTAAGAAAATTACGGCATAAACGTCAATGGCAAGCGTAGTGAGCATAAATTGTCTATATGGATAAATAATAGAGAATAAAACGAAATTTTGTTTATAAATACTTCAAGACGATATTCTTGATTGTATAAGACATTTTTTTCGTTTAACTTTAATAAAATTGTAGGAAGTTGGCGGAAAACTACTAAAACGAGTTGCCCGAGAAATTTGAATATGCGGACGGACCGAATTTGTCAAATTCAAAGAGAATTAATGGTACAGTGGCTGTACCGCTATTGTTAACGCTGTATAACGGGGCAAGAGCATCAGAAAAAGGGACAAGAAGTGAAAATTGTTAGAAAAAATTATTTAAATTAAAGTAATTACATGCAAGTGGTACGTTAAGGGAGCGTTTTTTTAATTCGCGCGAGTTAAAGTTCATTAAGGCGACTATTCATGAGATGAGTGGAGAAAAAAATAAGAGAAATATGAGGGAGTGAGATGACTGAGAAAAAATAAAGTATGTATCACGTTTAATTGTTACAGGATAACGATTGTCATAATTTAGTATAATTAGAAAAATTTTTTGAAAAATTTTTCACCTCCGTATCGCCTGCTTGGTATTAAAATAAATCGCGCGGGAAAAAATAAATTTTTGATTTACACTGATTTTAAGAAAATTTATATTACTCACACGTGGCAGGGCAATCACGACGTTGGCATTTCCTTCACCGCGATAGAGGCATCCTTCGAAGGATGCTCGTGTGAGTGGCAGGATACCGGATGTTGGCCAGGAGTGCACCGGAGGATTTCCGGAAATTGATGTCGACAGTTCAGATTTCATACTGGAGATGCAAGTCGCCGTGCTTGTTATTCCCTCGTCGAGGATCATGACTCCTGTGTTATGAGCTGAAAAAAAAATTAAATTAAGATAATATTTTTATTGGTATCACTGAGCGTTCTCTTTTTTGCTCGAAACGTCAAAGTATTCACAAAAAAACTTCACTAACCGACAATGCTTCCACTACGGTACGAAAAGCACGAATATCGAGTTTGTAAAATACATGAAAGAACCGAAGTCCCCCTAGAAATTGATAAACAATTAGTTTATCACCGATGAACTTTAATCCTATCTAAATTGTCAATAAATGCGCAAAGATTGGAGATAACCAAGGGAAAGGAAGTTCAATTTCTGGAAAGATTATTCGTAATCATAGCAACGTTCGTATATTGCTGATAATATCCTACCCGGTATATAAATTCGTTAAAGATAAAAAACTTTAGTCGATCCTGAATTAAACCGCGTTTAAAAAATTACATTAGATCGCCCAATCGAATCGTCCGTAATGCTCAACACTGAAGAATACCTCTGAATTTAGCCACGGTGGCGCCAGTGTCGCTGTCGCTGCAACTTCATTCGTGTGCAACGAGAACTATAATAGTTATCGCGTTCGAATTGCTGCGGTTCAAACTATCATATTAATAAGACACGCCCTCCCTCTCGTTCGTAAAAATGTCTGATCAAGTGACGTTTTCGTGTTTAAATCGTTTGCACTTAGCGTCACCCGATTTTGCAGAACCTGTCAGAATTTATTCGCGATAAGCGTAAGAAACAGTTGGTAATTGTCAGAGTTAAATTTAAACGAGAGAAAGCTATAGGTATCAACGTTTATCGTTAACTCAGGGCCGAGTGAAATTGTGCATTACTTTCCAGTGATAATTCCTACGTCGTACATCGCAGTTACTGTTGACGCTACAAGGGCGCGTGCAGTCCTACAAAAATAGTCCGATAAAAACGTGATTATTCTGCAGTAGCCTTCAATCAAATTTATCATCCAGACTTCCCAAGACCTTCTAAGATAAATCTACTCTGTACCAGACACGCATCATTCGACATTTTCCCCATTCCCAAACGTGTCTCATCCGACGGCGTAGTAGCTGCCAATGAGAATGGAGGTTACGTACAGAATTCTCTACGACGACCAGTTAAATTAGTATCGGTATTAACATAACGAGATACCATCGAGCTTGTTTGTAGAAGAAAAATAAATCTTTCGCATTTAAACACAGTTAAATCCACAGCCACGTAGTTATTGACAAACTTTAAAACATCAATTACAGAAAAAAATTACATAAATAATCATACAAAATACCCAAACAAAATCGACAAGCCTTCTTTTTTCGTGAGTGATAATCATCGAATTAAATCTACCACTGTAATTATATAAAACAGAAACGATAAGACGTTTCTCTGAATACGCACGAAGCCCGCGAGGAGTCATTCTGCCAAGAAAAAAACAATGGAAAGACGCAAGAGAAAAACAGGAAGGATTCACTGAACCGAATGCCAGTGCCGACGGTAAGAACCAAAAGTAGTCAAGTCGATATAAAGGAAAACTGCAGTGATGAAGAATGGCAGTTGGAACAAAGGAAAAATGTGTATAAGTAAAAAAAAATGTATAAAAGAGGAAGAAGCGGTAGTGAGAAAAGAATGAAGAAAATAAGACGACACTGCCAGTCAAGCAGTCAAGAGACAGCAGGGAGCGGCAAGTTACGGCTATGGCTGCCAGCGGAGGCCTGCAGGCCAATAACCGATGTTGACCTCTGAGACAAGGGGGGGTAGGGGGGGTCTGTTTGTCTGTCTCTGTGTAAGAATAATAACAAGAGCCAACAATGATAATAATAATTGCTCCTCATCTCGAACAAGCTCTCGCATTTCGTATTGTATCGCAGCTGCCAGGTCAAACCTGTCCCATATTACGGTCGGGTCAACGGGTTAAGTTTTCTTTAACCATTTTTACCGTTTACAACCTCCGTTACATTAGACCTATGTAGATATATCTTCTCCCCGAGGCTGTCTACTGCTGCAACTGTTCCGCTTGGATGTACGATAAATAATAATTTTACCAATTAAGTCAATAAGCATAATGTCACTAGGTTACTGTGCAAGATTGATTAAAAAAACTTCTAGTAAAAAAAATCTTTTCAAAACTTACTGTAATATAATAATAATATAATAATTGTAATATATAATAACTTACATAATTCACGTTATACACACGTGATCAGTTTTGTCGTAATTACTTGATAGACTCCGACGTATGTTGTTGCGTGAATTTTATCATTAAATTGTATATTGAAATTAAGGTCAGTAATAATGAAATATCTCACGAATACGAGTACGCTTCTTCCACGCGATCATCTTGTCAAATATCCAGTAAAGTCTAATTTCTCTAAGATCGTTAAATAAGCTGTGATCACCTAAGTAAAACTGTTTCCTTTAATATTCCGTGCAAACACGACCAGTAGTCGACTGTGTAAATTTCAGACGATATTTTTAGGCAGTTTTCATGGTTCGCGATCATAAAGTCCCATTCACAATAAAGACCTGGTGCACCGGTAAAACCATCCTTGGAGGAATCCATTTTAAACCGTACACGTCGGATTCCCGATACAAAATGGCAGTACACAATATTTACTCACAGACGTCGCTATTTCCCCATACACAACAAAAGCCACGTGGACGCGCGCGTAAGCACGATCGATGTAAACCCACCGGAACCTAACGAGTCGCTAGGGGAAACAAGTCCGTGCGTGTTTCCGAGTACGACCACGGCGTCACCACCGTAGTCAAGTAAGAAACAAAAAGCCAAAAGCGGGAGGTTCGAACGACGTGAAATAAAAGACACACGGTATTATATTATATTTATGAAATTTCATAAGCACGAGGCCTTTGTTTTTATTATCTCTGTACAAAAACAGTCGAAAAAATTATAGTTTCTTCTCTCGTTAAAGATTTAATTTTTTCGAGCTCACGGCGTATGTACAAGCGGGAAATTATATAGATATATCGTATATCCTAAACAACTAAATTATAATCGTACATTGATATAATAGATACATAATAATTATATTATAGTAAATAGTAAACCTACGAGTCTAGGAATTCGTGTGTGTCTCCCTCTCTCTCGGTGTCTCTTTGCTTCGTGTCTTCCGCTCGTGTTTCTCACAAATATTATCATTATCATTCTCTCTCTCTCTCTCTCTCTCTCTCTTTCTCTCGCGCTCTCAAAACATATCTTTCTTATATCGTGTCTCAAAAGCCAATGTGCATATCATACGTGTCATTTTATGTAACCAGTGTATACGCGCGGATATCAGTGTACAATAATAGTGTATACAAGAATTCATCGAGTTGCAGGATCTTCCTTATTGAATTCACGTGTAAATGAGTGGGTTGGTTGTGCAAGTACTTTTAATGTATATTCTTGTTTTTTCTTTCTTTCTTTCCTCACACTCTGGATAAACAGACATCCCGAAATTCGAATAAAATTCAGAATCACGGCTTTCCACAAATTTTGTTTACTCATCACGTTAAACAAGTACCAATGGAGTTGGCTAATAATTAGTACAGTCATCATCACAAATATACTACAATTACAATTAGGAAAAAAAAATATCCGTGATTAATTATTTATTCTGAATTTAGATGTTCTGTTCAGACCCACGTTCTCTCTTTTACTGACACACTCTTTCTCTCTCGCTCTTACTTTTTATTTATCTCTCTCTTAGTCTACTCCATTACTATTGGCTTTCTCTCTCTTTCTCTCTGCTATTCCTTATACGTTTTGTTCTTCTATCTCTCTCGTTCACTCTTCATTGCAAACCGAGTCTCTCTCTCTCTCTCTCTCTCTCTGTCATACACGACTATTACGTTTCTACCGTCTATTACAATTCTTTCCTTTTCTTTCTTTCTTTCTTTTCCCACTCAGATTTTTCATATAGCCCACGACAATCTGTCATACACGACTATTACGTTTCTACTCTCTGCTATTCCTTATACGTTTTGTTCTTCTATCTCTCTCGTTCACTCTTCATTGCAAACCGAGTCTCTCTCTCTCTCTCTCTCTCTGTCATACACGACTATTACGTTTCTACCGTCTATTACAATTCTTTCCTTTTCTTTCTTTCTTTCTTTTCCCACTCAGATTTTTCATATAGCCCACGACAATTGAAATGTGATTAATAAATTAATTAACTTTCTATCTGAGGCGAACGAACGGATCCGACTGTTAATTAAAAATTCTCGTACAAACAACTTTCGATTACCAATTGATTTGCCATTAAATTTTTCTACACGGTTCGCGAGCATCGTGCTGTACGACTTTGGCGACGGGCGCCGCGACGCCCGTGCACCGAGCACGAGAACGAGGAGCGTTCAATGAAATTAAAGAAAGTGCCTCTGTTACAAGAAAAAAGAAAATACCGACCGAGAGATCCGTCGTAGAAATATATGATTTTTTGAAAATTTTCATTACTTTACAATTTTTCTTACTACTGTTCCTATCTTCGTTATCACCCCGCTCTTATTGCCTTTTTCGGTTTTTACCTTGCGTCTTCCTACAATTTTTCATAATTCTCCCATCTTATCACGGACGTTTGACTCTAGACGTTCGAATTACCGGTTTGAGATCTATGTTGATCGTCAGATATTCACTTTGATTTCCTTCTGTACAGGTTTTACCATTTTTTTTTACTTTTATTTTTCAAATTATCTTCTCTCTCTCGCGCGCGCGCTCACACATACAGCCTCTTTCAATCTGTCTCAATCGTACACGCACTTTCTCAAAATTTCACAACACGCCTTTCTCTTGCACTCATGCTCTCTCTCTCTCTCTCTCTCTCTCTCTCTCTCTCTCTCTCTCTCTCTCTCACGAATCGTGTTTTTTATCGTTATCTTGATTTTGTCTCGTTTTATTTAAAAAAATACTGAATTAACCAAGCTAAAATCACAGACTTGCTGGCGCCTCCCAGCGGGTTTGTACAAATTCTTCCTGAAGGACTCTATAGTTACAAGGTATATATATATATATAAGTATTTTTATATATATATATGTATATATATATATAGTAATTACAATTCATTCGTGAAGTAATAATGCTCGCACATCTACGTCGTGTAATTCGCATTGCGTGTATATAATGTACTTCTGTCGTCTCTGGTGTATATGAGCGTACCTCAATTACATATATGTTTTCTTTTTAATTATTCTGTTTTTATCCTTTTCTCCCTTTTGTTTTTCTTTCTCTTCTAATTCGTTCGCTGAAATTGTCGTGTTCGTGCGTCGGTATAAATTCGTTTCCATACACCCACCCCCCTTTTCCTGGCTCTCGCGTCGTCACGGTCCATTTCCAAAATTCCATTAAAAAAAAAAAAATACAAAAAAAATAATGATTCTCAAAACATTGTCCCCCGAACAGACCTTGTACTCACGGCACGAAATAAAATTGAGTGACTCCTTGTAAAATGCTCGTGGACTTTTTGCTCTTTCATTTTATCTTATTTGTCTTCCTTGAAAATATCTGTCCTTACAAACGTAAGGAAACTGGGTCCCCGAGTTATTTCCTTATCGGGAGTTATCAGTTATTACCTCTATCACGCGCATATAGCAATTTCGTGCAAAATTCAAAAAACGCCGTAGCGAGATTTGGGCTGAGATCAAAAATGCATATATATATATATATATATATATATATATATATATATATATATGTATGTAAATATAAATATATATTTATCACTATGGTAATTCCTTTTTCCCATTTCCTCTTTTTTTTTTCTTTTTTTGAATATTTTATACCTTTCATTCCAGTCCGTGTCTTGGCTGTCGCGAGATCGAAGAGTCAAAAAATAATATCCCACCTTCGATATTTGGTATTGACAGTTTTGTAACCATTCCCCCCCCCCCC